AGTGAAAATTCCTCCAGTGTGAATACTGAGTGGCAGGAGATGGACTGGTACCTTGGGATTCTGGAACTGCAGTGCAAAAATGAAAACCTTCCTCTCCATCCTGCACATGCCTTTTATGGCCCTGTAGCCTTTCTTGTGTCAAAATGAGAATAGAAAAGCCAGGCATTTAGCATGAAATGAGAAATGTTCCCTCTCTTTCTGCCTGCCCTTGAAGGAGAAAACCATTCCTTGGGGTAGATTCTGATCTGAACCCTGTGAGATTTGAGGAAGGTTCATGGACATTTCCTGGTTTTGCACTAGGAGGAATGGGGAAATCTCCTATGATGGAAAGTCCTTTTGAATTTTCCAGTGAAGGAGAGGGAGGCTTCCAGATGGCTGCAGTCTAGGCAGGGTGTGAGTTTGTCATCATCTGCAAGCACAAGCCCAAAGCCACCTCTAGCAGGTTCCCAATGACAAATCTCTTCCCCACCTGTTTCTGCCTGTGTCAGTGCTGCAGGCTGAGGCTGGGGGAGGAAATGACTCCTGCCTTGTCCCTGTCCCTGCCTTGCCTGATCCCTGACAAGTGGAATTGTGCCAGACAAAATGTAGTCTCTGCTGCACCTGGGTCAGGCAATGCTTTCACGATGAAAGCATCAATGACACTGTTGTTGTTCCTTTGGCATCTCTGGGCGTGTAATGATAGGAGAGATGAGACTTGAAGGAATAATTCTGCTGATGCAGAAAAAGGGATCAGATCCCCTGGTCCCTTTGGAAATCAGGGTTATTTCTGCAAAATCCTGGGTATGGCCTTTTTGGAATTACTCCTTCATTGCTGGCATGTAGCTGCAATCTTTAATGCCTCAAGGGAGTAGTTGCCAATTTTGCTGTATCAGTTCTGGACTAGGAATGAACTATCTCATTAATCCTTACCTGTCTCTCTTGTATTACTGATTGGGACATTCCACAGTTGGAAACAAATCCAGTTTCAGGGGCAGTGTTACTCACTAATGGCTTGGATACCACATGATTTTATCCATTGTGGAACTATGTAAAGCATTAATTCTCTTACTTCCAGCAGATCAGTTGGAGAGTATTTCAGAATGACCTGGTCTCCACTCTTTTCATTGAGAAAAATTGGAACTGACAGTATTAGCCAAGATCAGAAATGTTTGGGGCAGGTCATGTTTTATGGTGGTTTTGGTGTCTCTGCAGGAGAGAAACCAGGGGAAAAAAACCTCTGGAGCAATGAAGCAGAGCAAAAGTGGCAATTTGCAGTTGAATGGCCAGTTTATTCCCTGCAGATCCAGACTCCTTGAGTACTGGGGACATGTAACTTGGATTGCAAAGCTTCTTCCAACATGAGATGCCATTGTTCATGTTCCAGAGATTCCTCTGTTGTGAAGAGAAATAGAAGCAATGAACCAATAAAGCCCAACCCAGAACTGAGTGGGAGTTAGGGAAACGAGGGCCATGAACACTAGGTTTGGAAAGCAATTACTTCTGAGTTGTAATTCTCAAATTCTGGAGACCACTGTGGGTTGCCCACAGTTTAGAAGGAAAGGAATGTCAAAGTGTTGGATGGGCAATGAACAAGACATAAGCGAAGTTGTAGAAGCATTCTCTCCTGGATTGCCAGCATCATACAGTTCAGAGGAACTCTAGTGAGACTAGTTTAATGATCAATAAAAACAGAGAGGTCTTCTGAATAAGGAAAACATGCCTTGGATGCCTCACCCATTAGATGGATTGATTGTAAATGTGGGAGTTCACCCAATTCACTTCTCCCCCTGTGAGCAAGGCTCAGCCTGACACAGAGGTGAGGTGGGAGCTGGGCCGCTCTCTGTTGGGAGGAAGGGTCTTGTGGCAGCCCAGAGAGGATGTGCACATTCCCAGGGAACAACAAGACATAAGCGAAGTTGTAGAAGCATTCTCTCCTGGATTGCCAGCATCATACAGTTCAGAGGAACTCTAGTGAGACTAGTTTAATGATCAATAAAAAGAGAGAGGTCTTCTGAATAAGGAAAACATGCCTTGGATGCCTCACCCATTAGATGGATTGATTGTAAATGTGGGAGTTCACCCAATTCACTTCTCCCCCTGTGAGCAAGGCTCAGCCTGACACAGAGGTGAGGTGGGAGCTGGGCCGCTCTCTGTTGGGAGGAAGGGTCTTGTGGCAGCCCAGAGAGGATTTGCACATTCCCAGGGAACAGCTGTGCCCTGCATGTGCCCCTGCAATGAGCTGTGCTGCTGCCAGTGCCCCGTGGAGCTGCAGGGCTGCTCAGCTGTGGGGCAGGGAGAGCAGCAGGAGACTGCATGTGCAGCTGAGCCATTGCTGGAGAGCACAGGGCTCTGGGCTCCTGCTGTCCCAGGGCAGCCCAGAGGCCTGGCTGTTCCTGTGGCAGCTCTGGGGAAGGTGGGCAGGGGTTCTCCTGGCCTGCTCAATGTGATGATGGCAGGAGCATGTTTCCCTGTGCAGCTGTTTAGAAGTTTCCAAGGCATCTGTCCCATGAAATACGGAGCTTCAGATGATTTAGATTTATTTTGTGGACTCTGTTACATTTTGTGTCTCCACTTTGCAGATCTGACTGACTACCCTACTGACAAGAATCTTCCTCAGACAAGTCCCTCTTCACTCCTTCCCTCCAAGCCCTTGCCTCCCATCCAAGAGAGGCCTTCTTCCATCCAGTCAAGCAAGATCTCTCATGGGGAGGAAGAGAAAGGAAAAAGTAGCGCTGGCAACAAAGATGGCAGAAGAAGCAACCAGGAGCAGAGGCCAGAGGGAAAAGGACGTAAGGTATGGAGACAAAGCTAAGTCCTGGATGGTAGATTTTCAGTTTATGTGCTCTAGGCAGAGCTTGGAGACCTTTTCCTGTGCTGTGAGCCCAGGGAAGCAGCTGAGCCAAGGAAGAGCTCAGCTGGGCACTGCGCTTCAGGCTGTCTTTGCAATGGGTATGAAGTGAAGACTTCACGTTCTCAGCATGTA